AATAACGTTTAATCGCAGATTTTTAGCGTTTTTAAAGATCTAGATTGTAACAATTACATATATCTTTATATTAAGTTATCACGCGCCTAATTGATTTGTACATGAAATAAAACAAGTATTACTAATCTTAATCTAGAATTCAAATCCCAATTTTACTAAAAATATGGAAAGTTCTGCTCTACTATTCTCATTATTCGAATATTTCTTAAATATTAAATACATTCATTTCTCATACATATCTTTAATGACTTTTCTACATTTTCTACAATTTTTATAATTCTAAACTAATGAATATTTGCTAAGATACCTGTTACTTGAGACAGTCTTATTCTATGTTTATTGTTAACATATATTTTACTGAAAGCAGATCAAGATAGATTAAAAATATTATATTTTTGAATATTTGAAACATTGTCGATGTATTTTACGCTATAATATTCGAAACAGTTGGGACCAACGGACGTTTATCAAATTGAAAACGCTTTTTGCCGTTCACTCGGTTCCCGTGCACACGCATATGGCTTCTCGAACTGTTGCTGGAACTCTAATAACCGAAGGAACGTATCGCGCGTAGGCCAGCCAACACGTTCCTTCGTGTCTATTCTTTGTGTTTCGACGGCGTTAGGTCCCGTTAACATCTTTGTATGCCGTATGGAAATCTCACGCAAGGCTCCTGAACTTATCGTTATGCATTTCTTTGCGTACGGTGAACGGCATCGGGATGCGCGTGCCCGCGCGATATGCTTCCCTTTATGTGTCTCTTGCAGATTTATTACGTGAGCGGGTTGAATAATCATTATTTTCTTTTTCTACGAAATTCAATATTTGTTTCCGGGATCTGAAGCTAAACCTGAAGTTGTAATAAACATGAAGATAAAGCGACAAAATGATGATAACAAGTGATAAGTAAAATAAATAATAATAAGTAATAATTCAGAATATTAATAGAAATCTAGAACTTCTTGCATCAACTGACATGAAATAAAAATGAAATTTTCTTAAAGGTTCAATTATAATTGATGGAAGTTAATATGATTAGAAATAATTAAAAGATGTGTAAAGATAGAAATGGATAATGTTCTGAATTTTATTCGATCGATGGACGTTAATTTTGTTTTCTTTATTAGTATCTTTTTCGTATAGTTTTTTCAGAAATTATTAACGACTTCTCGAACTGTCAAATAAGTGTTGCATTTTACAAATACTTGAAGTTAATTAGCTTATTAAATTTTGTGAATTTATTCAATTCTTTCTGCTTTATCATTCTTTCATAAGTTCATGCATATCGATTATACATAATATTATAACTTCAGTCACGTTATAATTAAGTAAATAAGAATTTCGTTGAATCATTTGTATAAATCGTTCAATACTACGATAATTTCTGAAACGAGTATGTTGCAAACTTGTATCGAGGGCATAGTCTTAGAGGTTTGTACGCCAATACCTTTTTCTACAGTAGAAAATGAAAGACAAACTTCTGCTTGTTAACCTCTAAACTAGATTCTTTATTTATAATTTTCTCCTATATTGTATGAATAAAATATACGTAGAGGAATATAGAAACATCTAGCGGCTTTCTAAGACACTATTAAAATTCACGAATTCTTCACGTTAAGAATTTCAAATTAACTAATACCTAAATCAATTCCTAATTATTTTACACTGTTTCCTCTTTTCTATTTTTATTAAAATATATCAGCGAACTACGAGAGCAAATTTAATTTTTCAAAAAATGTTCTTACTCGTTATGAGATTATTAAAAAAATATTTTAACAGTTATTGCGTACGTTTAGTTTGCGGGTTTAGTTCTCTCCCTCAAGTCGTTGTAAAGTGACAGCTGTCTAGACAAACTGGTAAACGATGTTTCGTAAAAAAGAAACTGTTTTCCCAGCTGTATTGCTAGCGGGCAAAGCAAGCCTTGATTACTCCTACGTGCTAACATAAACCAGCCACTAAATTTGGACATCCTCTAAAGATCGACTTCCATTCCTCGAAGATGTCAGTCGTAACTTCAAAACGAAATATTAGTTTACCAAATTTTACGTAGAACTCTAGTTTCGAAATGTTTTATTTGTATACTTTATCCATTTTGCTAAAGCCTCCTTTCTCACTTTTATTCACTTTTCTATAATTTTTCTATTTATATTATACATTTTTATCGATGGTAATATAATAAATGTTAAAGATTCTTCTACGTTATAAATGTATAATGTTCCTCAGTCTATTAATAACACATTATAAGAAAAAGGAAATTTATATTCGTTATAGGTCTACATTTACTCTGAAGGTTAAATGGTAATAACAAAAAAATACTATTTTACAATAATATACTGACAAGGAATGGATAGTATTAGTATATACTCTATATATTACTTATTTATACATTATTAGATCAATCCAAAAGCTCTGTCGTTTTGTATAAGAAACTTAAAGTAACACATGCCATTTTCAAACCATAAAATATCAAAATATCAAAATATCGAAATATCGAAATATCGAAATATCGAAATATCGAAATATCGAAATATCGAAATATCCAAACATCGAAATATCGAAATACAGAAGTATCGAAGTATCGAAGTATCGAAATATTGAAATATCGAAATATTGAAATATTGAAATATTGAAATACAGAAATATACAAATATAGAAGCATTTAAACATCGAAATATCAAACAAATTGAAAACTATATCTAATTCACCCACTGAAGTATTTTGTCAAATCATGACATGCTAACAGTTCTCGTTTAAACTACCTATCTAATCAACACTCGCCAGCATCAAAATTATACGCTGTCGATAGAGTTAATTTTCCTCGTGAAAGCCGCGCGCGCGATTCGCCACTCCGGGAATCGAGAGTCACGCTAAAAACCGACATTAAGTTCTCGGCGACCAATAATGACACGGATGAACCGTCGGAACAGGAGATTACGGTCTGCTCGGTTAAAATTGAAGTCGTTCCATTTCCGCTGACATCCTACGCGCGCTGCGAGAGTGCAATAAACGATCTCTTTCTGCCTTTCATTCGGCCTTCGCGCGTCTGTCTCCCGCCGTTACCTCATCCGAACGCCCCTGCCTTCTCCGACTAAGGAAATCGATTAATCATTTGCCACGCGGCCGTCTCCGTGACATTGGAAAACGTTTTTAAGCGGTTATTCTCTCAACGAGCGGGCATCCACTATTCAGTTATTCGCATGCTTCCACCGTGTCATTTGACCATGATAGATCGTCCATTTTCCCCATTATTGACACTTAACCCGTTAACGGTAATGCCCATGACATATGGATTGATGCAAGACATTGAACATCATTAACTTACAGTAGAATTCCGATTGTTTAGCATACTCAGTTTGAACTATTTCGAAACAGTGCTGAATAATTAATTAGATTGATGAAGTGATGAAAACTAAGAATATATAATTTGTAAAAGATCACCACGAATAATCTTATAATGCAATATATTAACGAAAAAATAAAAAAGTCCATGATATCTAGAATCCATTATATCTGTCGCAAGTCGATTATGAAAAATCTTATTATCTAGCTGATGATATGATCAGTTAATTGTCATACAGTAATTAGAAAATTGATTAAATTAGAAAAATTTTCAATTTCATAGAATTAGAGAAATGTCACGTTTTTCTCATTAAAAATCGAAAAATATATAAAGATAATAAAAAATATACATTCTTATTTAATTTATTACTAATCATTATCGTTTGTACTTCAGAAAAATAAATCGAGTAATTTTCAAACGCGATTGTACTTTTCTTCCATTTTTTTTTCTTATTTTGTCTCATTGTTTTAGATTTTGTTTCATCATATAACTAATATTGTTTAAGTAAGCATCGCAAACAAAAAATATTTTATAACATATTGTAAACATTTAGAAAATGTTGGATGACGCGATGTTCTAATTCGGTAAACACGTCACGTATTTAACAATGATTATGAAAATAGAATACCAATGATGATTACGTTATAAAATGCAAGCGCGATTGTGCAACACAGACTTTAAAACATGATTCTCACGTTTAATGCACGGGCATATGTTTAACGACTGTTTTACGACGAACAGGAAATTATGTGGAATAATTGCAACGTTGTATGCAAATTTACAGTTGCACTCTCGTATAACGATCCTCGTTATAGAAATTCCGTATAGTCTAGACATATTTAATATTCTGCTATAATGGGTTCCGTTAATACTTATCGAATGATCCTTACTGAAAATTTTGCATGATCTAGAGATGTTTATACTGCATAAACTTCAATTTCTTTGTACAATAATTAATTTACAAATATTTTTATACACGATCTTTTTGACATCGGTAAACTGTAAATTTGCCAACAACTTTTATTATCTCCTATTTTTAATTTTATTTACAAGTTTTGAATCGTATTAATGTGAAAGTAAAGTAGAAAATAGATAACGAACTTATAAAAAAGTTCATTTTTTAATTTTAGGAGTTCATTTTATACTTGGAAATTGGGAAACGAGTTTTATTTAATTATGATTTAGAAACTGAAGAGATCGGGTTTCATTTAATCCTTTCGCTACTACGTGTGACTATAGTCACCCGTCACAAAAATGGAGCCAAAAGTTAAGACAATATAAACAATAACAAGAATACGTTCATGGAAAAATTGTGAACACATTGTTATGAACACAAATCATTTTGCTTCAAAAAGCAGTGTTACAATGGCATTTTTTAGACAAAAGGGCCCCGAATGCTGAAGACTGCACGCATTTAATGTTCCCACTTTTGGCTCCGTTCTACACGAGGGACTTCGCGGCGAGGCCTGCCGTAATGAAGGGGTTAATTGTAATTTCAATAATGGAAAAATGAGATGTTATTTAATTATAATGTGGAAGATGGAAAGATTGAGCTTTATTTAATCATAATTTTGAAAATAGAAAAATTGGATTTTATTTAATTAGAATTTTGAATATGAAAAATTGGGTTTTATATGGATTATTATTTCTGTTGTTTTAGCCGCCGGAGAACGAGTTGCAGAAAATTGGCGAAAGAGTGCCGAGCGAACACGAACTCAGAGTGCAAAGATCCCTACAACGACTGAACGTCCCGGATTGGTACAAGAACTCTCCCGCAGCTCGCGATGGTTTCCGGTTAAAGAGGCACTCTGACGCATCGCAGCACGGAGGATGGCGTGCTCTGGGCTCGAAAACCACTTCCCTCTCGTCTCTATCGTCGTCTTCCAATAGGCAGCCGACTACAGGTAAACGACATTCCGTTCACAGTATCTAACTAGTTAGCGAACTCAGGATATTTCTCACTAAAAGCCGATAATGCGAAGTCCATTGATTCGTAGGCCTGAAATTCTCTTAAAATTGTTTTCATTTAATCATTCTATGTGCCCAATTATTTGGAAGTATCGGAAAGGTATCCATTAAATTGCGCTAAGTTCTTAAATTCGTATAAATTTTTCGAATTATTAGACAACATATTTTCATTAATAAGTCGCATAGTTATTTCGTTCTTTATTCCTTACATTTTAATATTTGGAATGTTTGATCAATCTTATTAAAAATCTTCTTGGACCTTAATTACATTAATTGCATTCAATATTTTCTAATAAGCATTAAATTATCTGAAATAAAAAAACCGTTACTTTAAGTATTCAGCTTCGAGTAAATATGGCTAAGTAAAAAACTGCAAACCTGTTATAAACGTCAAACTTAGACAAACTGATTCCATAAACATTGATTTCAAACTCATATTTTAGTGATATAAAATTACGTTAGTTAAAATATCGTTTCATGTAAAGCTTTTCCAATATGGCCGCGATTGGTAACCATATACCCCGTGATACACAGTACAATCGATCGATTGCTTCGAACATACCACGCATATTTTTTTGCATATTTTCATTATACGTACGAATTTTGCATCCTTTGGCTCTGAAAATGATGATGTATTTCTCGAACGACTATCAATATGCATCAAAAGGTAAATACAGCTTTCAAAACATCTTACTTGTTAAAAATTCAAAAAATTTGAGACTTATAACAGAGATTAAAAAAAGAAACAATGTATAAATTCGAAAGTACAACATTTCCAACATTTCCAACAAATTTAACAGTTAACATACACTACCAAATATAAAACATACATAACTCGTCCCACCAAAACATAGCACAATTACTCAACGCCAACATGTACCTTCAAACCTCATCCACAATGCAACAGTCACCTATTCAAAATGATGCACAACCACGTCATCGGTACCCAGCGCTCAAGCCAATAACTCCCTTACGCTAACTTTCAAAATAAACATCACACCTGACACGCAGTGGGGCAACTGTATTACAGGTAATGTGTCTACAAAAAATAATAGAATAAAAGGTAGTGACGCATCACGGGATCGCGAGCGATTTGCCATTTGAATGGCGCAACACCGTACTAGCCCCTCATCCCTCCTCTGCCCGCTTTCCTCAGACGAGGGATGAGCGTCCGAAATTAGCGCGTGGCGGGCAGAGTGTCGGCCAATTTCATTTATGCGCATCTCCGGGTTCGCCGCGTCAATGCGATGTGCCACGCTGATGGTCCCTGGGTACGTCGACGGGGCGACGACTAATAGGAAGCGGCTAATAAATTTAGCGGGGCACGTTAACTCGATTAATTCGACCCTGTCGGTTGTCTGTTACCGGGCCAGGGAACGCGAGTCGAGCTAACGGCTGCTCGCAGCGCTTACTCGCAAGGGTTGACGCTGCGAAGGGTTGCAAGGGAACGCTCAAGGACACTACTAACGAGAGAACGGAATTTGTTAAGGGAGAGCCCTAATTACGAGATTTAAAGGGCGCGAGCGCGCGCTCATAGCGACTTGGCGCACCGTATTCAGTAGTCGGAAGCGGACGGGACGATTTCTAATTGGATCCTGAGGGGAGCTGAACCGAGTTCAAAGGGAGCGACCTGAGCGAGACTCTTTCTTTTTGTCTTGTTTTCCTAATTGTTTAGGAAATTTTGGTGTTAGGATTAGGGGATTTTTTGGAGAGGAAATATTGTAATTAGGATCTTGCTTTGTGATTTGTTTCGTGGATGTATATTGTAGAAGTTGTTCCTTTGTTAATCATTTATTTTCTAATAAAAAATAATTTATATTCATTATAAGACTGGAAATGTTACAGAATTATATTTTTTTATTTTATATTGTATTTTGTAATATAATTATAATAAAGTATTAAATATTCGTGGACGTGGATTAATGTTTATTTTAAATCGATGGGTATTGAATAATTATTTTTATTCGAATTACTGTGTTATCAGAAAATATAATAACTACTTCATGTCATTCCAGATGTTTTACGAGCTTTTATTTCATCGTTGAAAGCTTCTCGAACAACATATTCTCGACTTACAAAACCGTCGATCATAGTCTCCTACTGTAATCCATTTCAGAAACAGATCAAGTAACACACTGTCTGTAAAATGAGTCAAGATTCCAACGTAGTGTCACTCTATTCGAGGCTTTAAATAACAGGCTACATAGGTCGTTAAAAAGTCACGGTACTGATTCCATATCAACCAAATACTTATCAAACTAAACAATGCTATTTGTATTTAAATACCATTCTTATTGTATTATATTATTGAATCTGTATTGCTCCTTTTTTATTCCCGTTTTATTTATTCGTGTACGAATTCATTATTCAACTACATAAATTGTAGTTAATGCTTAAATGTTACTGCATAATATAAGAATTATTTAGCTTATGGTATGTTGAATATCATCCAAGTATAAAACGAATATAACCTGGAATATGTACATATCTGTATCGATCACTTGTACACCATAACGCAGCGTGTATGGTTACCAATGGCGACCATATTGTATACTTTACGTAAAATGATTCTCTAACAGCAACTTTACCTTCAAGTCTAATAACTTTGAAACTTTATATCCGTCAATGAAAAATTCACTATTCGATAAAAATTTCAAAACAAAATTAAACAATTAAAATTATTATTAATTATGTATCTATTTATATTAACATATTTCGTTTAATAATTAAACGTAATTTATATTTTGTCTAATTTCAAAATGTTATTGGCATACCTATGCAGGTGCCCTTCTAAGTCCAAGTCCTACACCACCTGTATTCTCGAGATGGAGTACCAGTCTGCTGAACAGCGCCGGAAGTTCGCCAGCAAGTTCGGCAAGGTCGTCTTTCAACCACCGACAGCCGTACTTAGGCTGGCGTTCCCAGGAACGATTGACAAATCCACGAACACCGGCCGAACGTCTTGCTCAGGGTATTCTTCCCCAGTTGCAAGCAGCAAGCAAGGTTTGTATTTTCATTATCCTCGCGAGAACACTTAATGAGAATTCCAAAGATAAAGAAGTTGTTATTCACTACTAGAAGGCCAGAAAGATTTAAAAATCTTGAATTAAAATATTCTAAGTCTAACGCATTGTCTGGGTCCATTTTATTCATTTATCGATTTTAATCGACACATTTTAATTATAGTTATTTCTAATTATTCCGTTTTAGTTATTTATTTATATGTTTTACTAAATTTAATATGAATTCTGTACATATTTACAGCACGTATTTTTGCATTTTATTGAAATCTGGAACTCCCGAATTTATTTAATCTATCAAAAGTGTCACTAAATAAAATAATGAATTTTTTTTTTAATTTTATTTTATATTATCCAAGTGGTAAGTTTGTGTTTCATTACTTTTTAGCCTTCTGAATAAATCTATATTAGTCTAAGTTTACCTAAAGATACTCCTATAATTTAAAAAAATAGCAAATTTATACTTCTCAATGGTAATTTAAAGTAATTAGAAACGAAGCTGTTTTGCTTCAAACTTCGAAGGTACCAACGCTGCCAGGTATGTAAAGTATTCGTACTTATTGCTTCATCTTAAATATAAACTTAATTGGTTACAAGGAAAACAAAGTTCCACGAAATCGAATGAAACTCAAAGTGACTACGTCGAGCGTACAGAAGGGCGTCTCGTGTAACAGTCAATTTGTCGCGAGTTTCAAAGGCCACGAGACGCCAGGACAAGAATTTCTGCCAGAAATTCTAATTATAGAAACCTCGTCGCATTTGCGCTCTGTCTGCGCAAATTAAAAATAAATTGGATAAAGAGGAAAGCGAAGGGTGCGTGGGCAGGGCGAGGGTCAGCAAATGGCCAATCCACCGGTTCGAGGACAAGCGTTGCTTTTCCAATTTACGACAGTAAATTCTTCAAAAATATAAAAACATTCGTACCATTCAGTCAATATTTATAAACACGATGATGAACATTAATCCTAAGTCACAGGAACAATTTGTAGGCACAGTACCTGTTAAGAAATAAAAAATTCTTAGTCAAATGATTTATTAAATTCATTCTCAATTAGCCAAATATGCAAATAAAATTCTTAATTAAATAATAAAGTAAGAAAAGAATGTCTGTTATCAATTTCTCGATAAAATAGTTCTGATGTACATAGACCCACAATAGCTGACCATTCCTCTCAGAGTTTCTAAATATCACCGGTCAATGTTATACTAATGTTTGTAGACTCTATAGTGATTGTAGTAGAGTAGACACTATTTCTCTCTCGAAATACAATCTACAGTATAATTTGCAAACCAAATGATAACAGTCAGAACGTTGACACAGCACTTTCCCGAGTTTCAGTAAATATATAAATCTAACACATCAAACATTAAAAGGTGTTTTCTGTCTCCACAGCAGCAACAACAGCAACAGCAGCAACAACAGCAGCAGCAGCAACAACAGCAACAGCCGCAGCAGCAGCCGCAGACAACGAATCAGCAGCTAGAAGTGAGAAACTCGATAAAGGAGGTAACCTCGGCCATTGTGCACTACGTGCAAAGCGGTCAGGAGGTTGCTGGAGGTGGCAGGCTCTCGCCTCGACCTCGACCAGAAGACTGGGACGACAGGGGCGGAGCAAGGTCAACCAGCCCCAGAGGTGAGCACTAAACCAACCCATGCCAAAAACCATGTCACCAACCACCACCACAACCATCACCACTTTTACTCTCTACGAGAAAGGTAATTTTGAGTTTTCCACCTTGATGTGTTCTCTTCGTGTCTCATGCATCCGTTCTGCGGCATCTAGATGCATCTTCTACTACTACTAGTACTACTACTACTACTAGTACTACTACTACTACTAGTACTACTACTACTACTACTACTACTAGTACTACTACTACTACTACTACTACTACTACTACTACTACTACTACTACTACTACTACTACTACTACTATTTTTTTACTCTTTTCTCGTCTCTTCTGTCTATATCTTTCGTCCGATTTTCATTATCGCGTCTCGATGAGAATGTTTGTAATATATACATATGTATATCTGAATCTTGTTTATTGTTCTATATTTATCACTCTGTTTCTCTCTCTATTTATGTCCACATATCTTCCTCTCTCTCTCTTTCTCTCTCTCTCTCTTTCTCCCCCTTTCTCTCTATGTGTCTACCAGCCTGAAAGCACACACTACCAGTTCGCTGTTTCTGCTCGTCGTGTCCTGTTTACTAACGAAAATTGCTTTCAAAGCCTGGCCATTCAACAAAACCAGCCTTTGTCGATAGGAGAACCAGTATATCCTCGCGCCATCCAGTTCTGTCGTCTCTATTCAGGCAGCATGTACTGCACTTGAACGTGCTCGCAATATCACTCGGAATCTTTTCGTCGGTATCGCTGTTCGCCTAGTTAACATGCGAACCGATGTTCTTTCTTGTCGGAATATTTTTTCCGAGTCGGAATCTTCTTCTTCTGTAAAATCTGACGTTTTACCACCTGTTAGGAGAACGTGTTCGCGCTTATCCCCTGCCCGGATAAACGGTGATTTTTCGAGTAGTTTATTCGAGTTACTCGAAACAGACGGAAGTGGTTAATATTTTGACATGGCGATGCTGCGAAGATTGTTTAACTGCATCGAACGGAATTTTAATGGCGACTTGGGATTATTGTTGAGAAAATATGGATTGTTAAATCTTCTTTGTCGTGAGGTATGTACTTTAATTGATGAGAATTTTACCAATTTTTCACGAAGGAGAAACAATTATTTAAACATGAATAACATTCCACGATTACCACAATTTCAAAGAAAAAATTGGTGTTTGATTTATCAGACTCATTTTCATTGTTTTATAAAAATAGGAAAGTAGTAAATATATTTTATTAATTTGATTAATTTAATAATGCATGAGTAATAGTAATTTAATAATAAATAAAAGAAAAATTAATTTTTTTATCTGCAACATGAAAATATCCTCTTGAACGATAGCTGGCCAGTCGATAAACTTCGTGAATGTGAGTTTATGGCCCGTTCTTATGGTCCCCGTTCTTCCTCAGATCCTGCAGTAGACAGTATTTAATTAGTAAAAATTGCCAATTTTCGTAAAGATCCACAATCTTCTGAAAAACACTAGCACCTCTTGATAATTCAAAGATTTGCTATGAAATAAGGCAAAAGGAAGGTCTCTACAATAGGATATTTGTCTCTTCGTCGTTCTCTTCATATTTAAATTAATTTCGTAGCCCTCTTGAATGCATTATCTCGCCAATCTTAAGGTATCTCATTCATCATGCTTGCCACATAGTAACTTCCAAACAAGATCAATTATACAACAGATATTACCATCAATACACATCTCGGACATCGATCAATTTTCGAAACATCACACCCAAGATTCTTATCACCCCGATCATCGTCTTCTGAATACACGAGAAACCACTGACCAAATCGTAAGGAAGAGAAAAAGAATAAGAGAGAAAAAAGGATTCGGTCAACGAAAAGCACCAATAAGAGACATCGCCAAGAAAAATCGTCAGCGTCGTGGAGCGAAATGTGAGATCCCCAAAAAAGCGTTTGAACAGGGGCATCCTTGACCGAGTGGAAACGAGAAAAACGAGAATAAAAAAGAAAATAGGGGGTGAAAAGGACGCGAGGATCCCGCGTGCTCTTGATCACGTGACCTCTGTTGAGTCTTCTCGGCCCAGCTTCTCGTCTTTAATCGCGTAAAGTCCCGCCGAAGGTATGCAGAAGCGAACCGGTTGCTATTTCAGCGTCCTCGCAGCCCTGTGGCCGACGCGGCACCGAAATAGATCACCCTGAAGTTTAAGTCCACCCCGCCTCTCTCTGTCGCCGTACGGTTTTCGGTGCGGCCGAACTTATCCGGCACTCGCATGACCTTAAGACGAAATTAAAGCAAACACCGGGAACACAACGTTCGAGATAACATGTGGCCGCTGCCTCTGCCTCCTCTTGTAACTTGTGCACCTGTCCGCGGTCTCTAGAACGCGTCAGTCTTCAGCGTCCAGGACATGGGTACTAGAATTGGACGAAATGTAATATAGTTATATATTAAGACTGACAGAGGTGTTTAACTTAAGTGATTTCAGTGAGTCTTAGTTAATAGTTGTGGGTAGTAACTTAAAGATCATTGAATCAGAAGGTACATTTTAATACTTTGTATAATTACCTGGGTTATCTTGAATTGAATGAATTATGCAAGCAAAAATTCTGAGATAATTCGGGATAATAATTGCGTACAATTATAATGGTGCTTAGGATATAACTTTTTAAAGTTTTTCTCTGTTCATATGAATACGTTACAAAGTAGATATAAAAAACGAGACTTTTCGGATCATTTTGAGGAAAAAAGAATTAGAGAAAGACTTAAATTGAAACTTTTGATTAAGATGCAAGTTGCTATTTGTAATTATTAATTGGTACACATTGAGATTACCTGGATTTCAATTGTAAATTAGCAACAGTTAATGATAATGTAACATTTTGTCCAACTCAGACGAGAACCATGTCCCGATTCCGTGTCTCGGCGTTTCAAGTTCCTGCGTTTAGTCTCTTGGACTTGTGTGCGAACGCTTTGTTCCGCTACTGTTGGTGATCGTTACTAACTTCTGTTACGTGCAACTTGTCAATAACTTGTATTCTGCGGCGTTTGATCATTGAGAATGTATCCGGTCGGGGTGCTGCAACGGTAATGGTCGTGGGGCTCATGGATTGATGTATGTATAGCAGATGATCACTTGTTTCGTGTGGTTTGATAAAAATTTTCTGTTAGTTTATCATTCATTTTTTATTTTTAAAAGGTGTTTCATTTTATTACAATTTCATACTACGATATTTTTGTCACGGGGATAATAGATTGGAAATATAGGTATTCTGAATATGTTTGAACATTGTATTGAATAAATATTATATATTTAATATTTTGAGGATTTCAAATATCATAGGAATTTAACAATTTTTCGATAATTTATTTATGATCATGAGTAATATTTAATCTGTTTCTTTCATTTGTATTTTTATATTTAATATAAAAGTAATTGATTACCTAATATGGAAAACTTCATTTCTGTTTAAAAAGTATGAGAAATTAAATGTTTAATTTCGAAATTCGTAATTAAGAATGTTTGAAATTATTGAATTGGAACTAATATTATGATATTATTAATATACAGTATATATTAATGAAGTGTAGAGTTGAAATGGCTAAAAAATTTGTTATTACTTTGACCGACTTTACTTTTCCTGATTCAGAACTCGGTCAGCCAAATTAAAGGACATTAGCAGGAAATAGGACCACCTAAAGAGAAAAGTTACTGAACCGCCAGGATCGAGACATTATATAATTAATTTGGTAACTTTAAATAAAATTTTCATTGATTAGTCCTCACTTAGTGAACAGTTACCAGTTTGAATCAGTTTTTTACACTTTCCTCTTCATTTCTGTATTATTACATAATATTCTATGACGAAAACAGCATTCGGCTAATGTGTTGTTGTCAATAATTTGAGGGTCAAAATTCAGAGTACATATATTATCCGTAATCATCGCATATAAAAGGTGTCTCATAGATTTCTATACAAAGTTTGTTAGTAGGTTTTATAATTGAAAATATAATCAAAATCTAATATAAAACTAATTCAACTAAGTAACTCATTTCCAGTATATACTGCTTCTTTATTTTATTACATTATTTATAAGAGAAAGAGATACTCCATTGCAAAAGTATTGTCAATTAAATTTCTAATTTCAAGATACAAAGTAAGTACACTGTACAATGAAATGTACACAGAAACCTGCGAAACACTGGGTATGTATCAGGATTTTTCCGAGCGAATTTTCCCTATGACCCATGACCATTACATCCTTGCCTCGAGCGCATCAGCTTATCTGCGTTTGTAATTAATATTTCCGTATTAGAGGCTTGACTAATACGAATTAACCAGAGTGTCGTTTGGAGAAGACTTTTCTACTCAAACCTCTTAAATCAGCCCAAACAACAACTAAAACCAAAACCGAAAAGAAAGCAGCAAATACCGACTGACGAACGTGGTAAAGTAGAAATGAACATTATGCGACAATGAAACGCCATTCTCGGGTCTGCGTCTTAATCTACAAATAAATAAAATTTTCAGTATGTATATATATAATACGTTGTAGACTATATGAGATGAACAGAAACGTTGAGTGTGCATCTTGTCGCAGACTGCAGTGGTGCGTTTACATCAATTGAACGAATGCTCGTTCGCCCTCCACTTTAATAAAATTGATTTTATAAACAAACATGACGTAAGATAAGATAATCCGTCCATACTCACTTTAACTCTTACGTTAGTAACCAAATGCATTTCTTCAAATATTAATGTTAAAATATTTCTGCATAGTATTCTCAAAATAAGAATTGCTGTAAGGGTGTTCAAAAAACGAAAATCCGAAGACATATTGTACTAGTTCCTAGTTGTTAACATAAAGCATCCCAGACTCAAACATGCGACGACGCATGCGTCGCTACAAGTGATGGATTACTGTCTTCTTTCCTTTTTGATACACTGCAACATGTATCATGAAACCTTGGAAGACTGAAACCCATCTCTTGTATATACCGATCCATGCATCGTCGCTTGTTTCAACACACACTTCGTATACAAAAGCCTGAAAGGTTAAACAAACATAAAAATTTGTTTGCCTTCACTACCAACATTTGTTCACCTTAATGAACATTCAGTAGTCTTTTTGACGCGAATTGGTCAGAGTGGGGACCGAAGGATCGTCCGTTTAACGTAAACGCGCCACGACGAACACACTTGAGTAACAAAACTGCATTTACCACGTTTCTTTCTCCTCCGCTCGTCAGGAACCGCGAGTGAAGTCGCGCGTGGTGGCTTCCTCGCGACCTGTCTAATGTATTGAAACTTCTGCTGCGAAGGGAGCGTGAAGCTGTGTTGGATGGAGAGCTCGTTCGTCGGCACAAGACCCGTGGACTCGCCGGAGACGCCGATGAGCTTAGCCACGGAGACCGACTGCTGTCCCGGCTGCAACGCTACGGCCACTGAATCTTGCAGTTGCATGGACTCCGCCACTTCCGGTCTCTTCTTGGACCTGACGCCGACCCGCGATGACGGTCAACAGCACCATCAGCAACAGCAACAGCAACTGGGCGGCGGTGGCAGCTTATGCCCGTCACCGTCCTCCTCGCTCAATTACCACCACCATCCCCATCACCATCACCGTCAGCTCCATCAGCAGCAACCGCAGCAACAGCAACGCCATCACCGCGGTGAGTTGCTGCTCGCCTAGCGGACACCCCCAAAAAACAAACAGATAATACGAAAGAGACCGAACAAGAGAACACGTGCTACTCGGCGACCGTCGCGAACCACCGGAAACGAACGTTCCGCGTTCCATCGTACACCAACGCGACAACACGATACCAGACGATCCCTCGGCGAGGCGCGCCGCTTCGGTAGACATAAGCTGACGAAGACGATTCACTCTGCCAGCCGCGGATCAGCTGCCGCGGTCGGGTTAGGGCGCTTTTAGGAATCTTGCTTCTCCCCCTTTCGTGCTTGTTCGGTAGATTTGTGGGATTCTGTGTATCGTAGGGTCTCGATCAACCTTGGGATTCGGAATAGGGAATTGAGGGTCCTGGCGCGGTGGTTCTTGATCTTTTTTCATCTTTATTTGGATGTTGTGTTCTGTGATTGCATTTGAGTGGCGCAATGATAGGATTAAATGCAATGGAATGATGAGATTAATGAACTATACGTGTATAAGGTGAGTTGCGAGAAATCGAGTAACTATATGGTGCTGTTATAATTGGAAATTGAAGGAAATGTTCCAGACAAATGCATGAAGTCAATTGATCTTTATGCCATTGAGGAAATGTCGATGATTTTCAAGTAATCTTGGAAATAATAAAATTTATTTATGTAACTGTTGATTAGCATGACCTTTATCTTAATCTTTATGTTTGTCACTTTCTTCGAACTTCGATGTAAACAGAGAAATTTAAGTGCTCTACTTCTCATGACTCACTCTGCATGTTTATATAAAACACAAAAGATGCAAGAGTTCAAAGTAGTAATAAATTTTTCTACTATATTTTGATAATTATGAAACGCACAATATATGTTTGACGTAATCTGTATGCTTGTTTCGAGGCACACAATTTTTTGAAATCAATTTTGATTAGTATAAGGAACGGTCTTGAATGTGCAACTATATTATCTTATTACAATATTTATTTTTTACTTTAACCATATTTATTATAAATATACATTTACGTACCTTTTTCCCTCATTACACGGGTGTTTCACTGTTACAAGTCACAGGTTTTTCTCTACAATTACAAAAAAATATTAGAAGAAAAACAATTGAATGAATTAACAATTGCATTATTATATAATATGTTAAAAAATATTGAATTAATGCTTCGAAAGATGATTCATAAAATATTTAACATTTTGATTTGCAATTCTGTTCGATAAGATAACGCAATTGTTCAATACATGTACATTGTTGCACTTGTAAAAATCATATAGCCCTACAACTCAATACTCCTTAAATCGTTTATTTTATTTCTAAAATTTGCCTCTAATTTCTCTGAAAAAAAAACTGTACCACGTAACAATTGCACAAACTACCCTATATAAACTTCGCTTACCTCCATAAGTCCAAACACATACCTCGGATTGAGAACCACTGTTCTAGTACTCCTCAGGAAAGAACGAAGTCGGGGTATCGTGTAAAGCTATTGAGAAACGCCACGTATAGGCTACCTCTATAGAAGCTTTGGTGTTTTCCGATTTCGTCTAAAATAAATCTAGACATAGAAGCAAATGTCGTCATCTTCTAGACGAGAGTCATGTCTCCGTCCCGTTGTCAAGTGGTTCCGCGTTGGTCCCGAAATTCCGCGCGATTTTTCCGGAAACTTGGCAGGGATCACTGAACGATCTTCTCGGAATGGCTGCGTCTCTGACGTAGTTTTCGAGACCTGTCTGCCCAGAGCCTCGTCGATTACGCTCATCAGGCGTCCTCGGGAACTTTGGGACGCTTTCCAATCGACGCTACGCTTCGTCACCGTGATCTCACGGTTTCCACGTGATGGACTACTACGCGATACCCAGTTTCATCGCGACACGTCGCGTGTCTTTCCGGATCGGAAGAGAAATTATTTTTGTACCTTGTTGTAACGCGCGTGAAGCGAACTGTGGACGATCGAGGATCGCATGCGCTCTCCTTAGCCACGTGACTCTGAGATATCGGGTTCCCCTTTGTACATAATTTTCTGTTGATCTTCTCCAGATCTTTAAGGAACATTGCTAAGGATCGATGGAACGCAAGGTGCATCTTGTATTTGCGTGCAATCTTGAGCAGCTTTCTTGAACTGTTTCTTTCAATTTACTTCGCGGTCCTCGCTGCGTTCTACTTCGTGCACGTATCGGCGTTTCGATTTTTACATTGTACGATTAATGACTGGACAGTTATTAAGAATGAGTTCACGTTGAAAGCTTGATGATATCTTAGATAAAATGTTTGATAACAATCGGATAAGTACGTGAGATTAATTAGACAATGTTGAAACGATTAAGGTACTGGCGTAATTCGTTACGCAACGGTGTTATTGTTGAGGGACGTAGGAGATATTTTTGGAGGAATCTTTTTTATTCCGTTGGTATGTTCATAAAAGTAGCTCTTAGTCTGTTAACTATGCAAATCGCGATTATCTTGTATTTAGACTTATACTCGAGGCTATGAAATTGTTTCGTTATTCGGGCATCGTGTTGGGACGAGGAATGGACAATGACAACTCGTTAGGAGTATGAATTGCAAATATAAATTAATGAACGTGACGAAGAAATAATAGTTTGTTATCATTTAATATGAAATTGTTTTAAAGTTTATGGATATTGAACGTCGTTTGTTAATTGTTTCTGATGATCGATAATAAACTTTGATTGAATTACAAATATGCACAGATTTGGTAAATCTAGGTCATTGAAAAACTCATGATCGAAATTGTGAATTAGTTATTTAAAGATTATTTTCTAATTATGTACGTGCTACGGCTATAATTTCTATTTTTATAAGAAATGTTGCAAGAGTGAAATGTTGAAGTATAATCGAGTTTACAACGAATTTGAATTCTATTTTTATATTCTAATTAATGAAACGTTTATACACTAAAGAAAAAATTGTTGAAAAAAGATTGTTCATTGAATATTCATAAAAAATGTTATTTAAAATATGTAACTGTAAAAAAAAAATTATAACTCTATATTTGTGAAGAGAAATTCTTTTTTAGTATTTCAAAATTATTTTCCAGTTAAGAAATTTAATGTTAAGTAATTAAGAAAATGTTTACACTTATAGAGGGTAATTCAGTATAAGAATACGACACTGCATTCTATAATGAAACATAAAAAGTAGTATTATATATTTTTTACTAAACACTTGTAATAAAAATATAAAATAAAGATGGAATATTCAATTAAGTTTACTCTTGGATATTTCTAAAAGTGATATCAATGTCTAATTTCAATGTAGTAGTGTCGAAGTATGCGCAATTGCGCATGATCTAACCGATACACTATAAACGTTTCCTCTATTGCTTTGTACTTACTAATTTTCTTATTTCCATTCACAGAAGATTCTTACAACGAATCATTTACCTTTGGAGCACCCTATATAATTGTACATAAACTAAGCATTTAACGTTTCAATAAATATTTAATAAAAATAACTTTACAAAATTGCCAATTTAAACGTAAAGTTTAACATTCATCGAATACCAACGTTTTATTTCCTTTCTATTGTATAAATTTTCATATTTTCGATCGGTATTGCATCTAGATTTTCCAATGCGAGAAATAATCTATCGTCAAATAATGATACACAAACAATTATTTCAGATAGGTCCGATAAACGGCAAAGATTTCGCTAATGATCCTAGGATTGGTCACATCAAAATAAAAGGAAGCGCTAAGGACTCGTTCCACTCCAGCCGTGTACACTTTTCTAACTAGATAGCTTAGAATTTTGTATCGCTTACGTAGTAATCCCATTCGATGGGATTCCTTCACTCGCAGTGCTTTCATTGTCAGTGTATAGGTGCAAACCTCGAGGGTTAGCAGAGAGGTGACTTCACACAGTTTTAAACCGCTGGGTCAGCTTTCCGTTTAAAAATCACGGGACTCGAGATTAATATAATATACGCCCCCGCCGATTACTACTATCGCCGTTTTCCCTCACTCGTTTATCGTTTTCGTCAGCTTGCCGCTCGTGAACGTTGAACTGTAAATCGGAACTGTTCGAGGGTCTGGATCAATCCCGCACACTTTCAATGAAATTCAAGCACACAAGGCGATTCTATACCGTGAATCCACACTCTTTTCTACGCACGATCTTTCTTTGGAAATTTTCTGTCGAACGTCGACGACGAATCAAGAGAAACTACGAATGCTTGAAAACCTGTGACAAAAGAAAAGAAGACAGAAACACGTATTTCCCTTTGCGTAACATCGTTCGGTTCCATTGACGCGTTTATATAGAGGAATTAATACGATTCTGCAGTTTCTGATTTTGTTCTGATTCTGTTTTACCAGCAGAAACGCTTAAAAATGGCGTTCAAGACGCCATTATGTCGGAATCAGTGAAGCGCGATTATAACGAAGGAATACTGCAATTCACGAACGGAAGAATGTAATTTAAAAAGAAAAGGTTTCGTTACCGTGAATCTTCTTAGAAAATCAATTCTTCCGATTTTCGTGTCGACGTTCCCAGCGTATATTTCGTCATTCCACAGGCGGTCTTTCGACTCGTTCCAACTAACCACGTGACGGAAGCGCGTCGGCAGACTTCCTGGTAGACTTTTTATAAGCCTCGTTCGTTTTTACTAAAAGTACCACGAATTCGTACATTTTTTTTCTGTCTGTTCTTTCTCTTTTTTCTATTTTGGCCACGAGAATATTTTGTAAGTTGAATCTTTGTTACTTTGTTACGACCGCCCCTCGTCGTTGGAAGATCCCCCGTGAAGGCCCTCCGCCCTCGTTTGCCCCGCGAGTAATTTGCATACCCTCCTGAACTCCAAACCCTCACCGAGACCAGTCCTCCTCCACCCCACTATTTTGCTCTCCAACCGTACAATCTACTACATATTTTCCTCTCCGCATTCTTTTTACGCGGTACACTCTCCCGTCACAGACGTTTAGTCTATATCCTTTACTTTTACCAGTAGTAGTCTACTATTTTTGCGTTCATGTATGTTTACTGTAAAGT